CAGGTAATGGGGAAAAAATAAGAACCAAGATACATCATGTACAGGTACAAGCACCCAATGATAAATGTAAATGTACTGTATACCTAAATGTACCAATAAAAGAATTTAAGCAAAAAAACCCCCCCAAAAACCTACTACTATGTTACGGATTTTTGCTGGAGAACACAACTCCCTCTGGGTGGGGAGAGGAAAAAAGAAAACCTTATCAATGTTATCAGCTTTAAAAAACAATAATTTAACTTTTAATGCTTATTTTTAGAGGCTAGAGTAAGGACATCATGTTATATCCATCAATGTAATATTATGCAACCTTTAAAAAGGGAAAGCCTTCTATGTACTGATAGGGATATCCTAAACAAATCATTGAGTATCAAAAAAGTAAAAAATATAAACAGTGCCTGTAGCATATGTCCACTTGGGAAAATGTGATCAGTTGGCATCACTGTTGGCTTGAACATGCACAGGCGACCTCTGGCAGAATCCACAAGAAACAGTCAACAGTGGCTGCTTTGAGCAAGAGAATCTAGTGGAGGACAAGGCAGGAAAGGGGGTAGAATTTCCGCTGCATTTTCCATTTGATCTTCAGAGCTATATAAATATACTACCTACACATACAAATAAAAATCAAATATGAAAACTATGAGAGAGATAACTTCAAAGTAAAGATTAAAGAATATTCTGTGCTAGGATCTTGAGAAAATCCTCTTTTAAGAAAGCATAAGAGTCAACTGAATGGGTAGGTGGAGATGAAGGAGGGGGAGGTAGCATCATTCCACAATGAGTCAAATCTTCTGGTCAAAGTTAAAAGCATCCTAAGGGCTGAAGATGTAGCTTGGCGGCACCCTGCCTGCCTGGCAAGCCCAAGGTCGAGTTCAATTTCCGGTATTGAAAAAAAAAAAAAAAAAAAGTTAAAAGCATCCTGAAAATGAAGAGGAATTAAAGCTTAAAAGTGAAATTATGATTAGTTTGTAGAGGAACTTGAGATCCAGAAAATTACAGTTGACTAAAGTTTCTGAACTTGGAAGTAATAATTAAGAAATATAAACGTGGCAGTTTGCCACACTCAGAGCATGCTGAAGACAAGTTAAATACCGGTTCTCTCCTTAGTCTGTGTCCTGAATTTCCACAGGAATGACTTCAAGAGGGAATGGAAGACACAACAAAGTGAGACTGCATGAAGAAATGGTTCCTAAGTGGATGTGAAAAAATAAGAAAAAAGAGATGCTCTTGAGCTTCTCGGTTGGGGAGAAAAAAATAAATATAGTTCTTAATTTGCTGATTTCCAGGTAGCGATGAGTCAGTAAGTATCCAAGAGTTCAAACTGCAATGGGAGGAATATTAGGACAGGAATTACAGAATTGACATACTACTATCCTAGGGCTGCCACAACAAATTACCATGACTGAATGGCTTAAACAACAGAAAGTTACTCCTCCATGGTTCTGAAGTCCAGAAATCTGAAAAGAAGGCATTGACAGGGCTTTTGTCCCACAAAAGGCATTAGGGAGTATTGCCCTGTCTCTTTCTGGGACTCCCAGAACTCCCTGGCTGAGCATCATAACACCAATCTCTGCCTTGCCTTCACAAGACCTGTTCCTCTACGTCTCCATATCTGTTTTTCCTCTTCTCAGGAGGGTACCAGTCATAGCATTTGGGCCAAACCCAAAATCAAGTTCTCATCTCTAAATGCTTAACTACATCTATAAAAAACTATTTCCAAGTAAGGTCATATCAACTACAGGTATTAGGGATTTGGACCTGGACATATCGCTTAGGGGACATTATTCAGATCACTCCAGTGGAGACCTGTAAGTCCATGAAATTGACAAAAAAAATAGATATCCTTTTCTAAAGAGGACAGTAAATATAGATGAGATCACAGATTCCAGAACCTCCACTTAGAAAATGGATAAAGGAAATAGAAAGAAAGAAAAAAGAGTTGAGATATAAGAAGAGTATCAAGGCCAAAAAAGTGAGAAAAATGAAGACCAAAAGGTAACTAATTATATCAAAAATGGCCACAAATGTAATGTGCCGAGATGCCCAGGAAGGCAGAAATCCAGGTGTGTGCATGTGAGCACACTCACACTGACAAACATAACCAGAGCTTCATTATTAAGACTTTTTGTAATGAATAAATAAAACATGATTCTTTGACTTCTTTAAAGAAAAATAACTCTAGGTCCTGCTGAACAATACATCAAAGAACAATCCAGATGTCCAGATCAAAAGAAAAAATAATTAGAAAATTATATAAAGATGTGTAGTTTGCCAAAAGCAACATTCTTAAAAAAAAAATGACTTAACACAGGGGCACCAACTGGTCATAGAGCAGAGAGTGAGAATCAAAAGAAAGAGCTTTCAGCAAGGTCACTGGAAGCTGAATTTTAAGATGCAGACTATTACAAAGACCAGCTAGGCCTCTTGGGGATCCAAGTATAAAGGAAGTTTACTGGGACAGATTGAATGAGGACAGCTATAATAAAGACGTGTGAGCAGAGGATAAGAACACATCTATACATAAAAATACTTCGGTAGCTACTGAGAGTAGTATAATCATTTATACACTTTTATTATAATCAAAAATATCACACAATCCTGAAAATGCTGACATTTTCTATGAAGAAAACTTAAAGGTACTACAAGCACAAAATGAAGTCTTTGGGAGCCTGACTTGGCCCCTATTTTCCCTGCTTAGTTTTCCTGCTGTCTCTCGAGCACACCCCAGCATGCTGCCCCCTCACCATCCGTGAGTCTCTGACCAGCGCACTTTTCCTGACGACAGCACTCCTACATACATTTTAAGACTAAATTTGAGAATCTCCTCCCTATCGTGCTTTGTCTAACAACAAGCAGTTACCCTGAAGATGAGATAATGTTATCACTAGAAAAAATTATCCTATTGATTTATAAAATGGGATTTTAGGTTACAAACATTAAAGGTACAAGAAAATCTTAACAGAAATTAGAAGAGTTTAATAGGTGATTTTCCAAGAAACCACTTAGGGTAAACATTTCAAAAGTTCATTTCTATCTGTTTGAGTTGCTGCCTTCTAAAGACACATATGATAATTTAAAAACTACAGAAAAAATATTTTTAAATTAAAGAACACACAAATGTATATTAGGTGTTTGTGAACTATTCATTTACTTGAGCACTGAATTTATTAAACTTCTAAGACTGAAACAACATCCTTCAACTAGATACAAGAAATGTACTCACTATCTCAAGTATCTCAAAATAAAATTTGTTCTCAAAGCCATGTAAGTCATTTTCTCATGTATGGTCTCACAATCACATTTACCTAAAAACTCATTCATATTCTACATAAAGGGATATATAGATTGTTTAGGCATGAAAAAAATAGTTTGCAAAAGGATTCCCATGAAAAGGTATACTCACATTAAAGCAAAGTCAAATTAACAAAGCTTTGAAGAAAAGGTACACCCAGAACAATGCTTTGAACCTAGCACAGGAGATATTATGATTTATATCTGGGACCCTCCCCCCCCGCCAGGGTCTTAATATTCCCATGGGGGGGATGTGGGGGAAGTGATTGGATCATGGGATGTGATCATCACTGTACAAATCCCCTGATGAGTTTATAGCCGGTGGGATCTGGCCAGAAGTGGTGGGGTGTGAGGGTGTGGCCTGGAAGAGTTTATCTCTTTCCTGCTCCTCCCTCCACACTCTGCTTTCTGCCTCCATGCAGTGAGCAACCCTCCTCTGCCATGCCTGCCTACATGCTGTCCTGCCCTGAAGCCAGGGGACTATGGACTGAAACCCCTACAAACTGTGAGCCAAAATAAACCTCTCCTCAGCTAACTTGTGGGTGTTGTATTTTGTTCCAGCAAGGAGGAAAGTAACTAACACAGGGACATATAAGGGAACTGCAGTGTATTTCATTAAAAAGCTCATTTGAAAAACAGTATCAATATACCAGGTAGACACCATGATTTCCCTGGAGAATTGGAGAGTCAGGTCAAGAAGATACACGCAGGTAGAAACTCATGAACGTAACACAAAGATTGTCCTGTTGTTTAGAAAGAAAATTTACTTGAAAATGAGTATTTCAAATGTACAAAGAAAGGGCCCCTGTTGGGCTTTGTAAACAAAGACTAGATTTATAGATCATTTACTTGCTTGAAAATGAAAGCTACTTAATTGATATTTATTCTTCACTACATGGCAGAGCTATACATAATTTCTTCCTAGTACTAATATTACTAGGAACTAGTTGTTTATTTTACTACACATTAATAACTGTTACTAACTTTCTTAGGAGTCTGAGTGGAAAAATACAAGTTAGGTAAAAGGATAAACAGACGATTCCCTTCTTCATCCCCAAAACACACAAATAAAACAAATGGCCCACCTTCTCGGCTTCCTCCACACCTGTGGACTTTGACACAGAAGAGCCTGGCCTCTCTTGGGCTTTCTCAAGGTCCTGGGGTGTACTCTGTGATGACAGCATGGGGGGTAGCGGGGCCCGCCTCTTCTTGGGTGCGTCTGATGGTAGGGTGTTGGACACATACTGCCTGGAGAGGGTATTGGATCTCACAAAAGTTGGGCGGTGCTTATTTATTAGAGGGGTTGCAGGAGCACTTGCAGTCTAATAAAAGAATGAAGGAAGCATCTCCATGTAATTTCAAGATAAAAAGCACTAATAATTTTTAAAAGACTTCAGTAATCTTAGGTAGTGCTACATAAGAAAATACTTACTTGCTCTCTCTTTTTCTTACTGCGTTGAAAGAAGCTGAAAAACCCCTTGTTTTCTTTCTCTTTCATAATATCTAGGTTTGGTGATATTTGAGAAGACTCTGAAAAAGAAGAAAAGCATCTTAACCTTCATAAGCAGGGCTGAATACTCACTTTGAAGCTTTTCTTCTCTCATTTTTCATTTAAAAACATATGTAATGATAAAAGCTACTAATTATAGTCTGCTATAATCCAGGCTCTCTGCTAGGCACCTGAATCTCATTAAATTCTCAAGGCAACTAGCAAATATTGTTCCTACCTCACAGCAAAAGAAAGTGAAGCTTAAAAAAACTAGGATATATACCGGTACTCAGAGCCAACAATCACAGCTAGATTATATACTCAGTGCTGCATGACTCAATCTATGTTGCATCAGTAATTACCAACATTTCAGAAGTACAATTAAAAAGGACAAATTAAATGAGGTATGACATTGCTACCAGTTTGTCTTGTTTTACTTTGATAATTTTGTCTCAGCAATAAACTATCATGAAATATTTTATTCTCCTAAACATAAATTATATAGTAGTTGGTCCTCTGAAACTTCCACATTAATGAATTAAACAAACCTGGTATAAAAATGTTTGGAAAAAGTTGTATCTGTGCTGAATATGTATTGTCTTGATCCTCTAAAACTGTAGGAACTATTTATATAGTATTTACATTATAGTAGGCATTATAAGTAATCTAGAGATGATTTAAAGTATGTAGGAGGATATGCGTAGGTTATAGGAAATACTAGGCCATTTATATAAGGGTTTTGAGTATCTGCAGCTTTTAGTATCTGCAAGGAGGGAAGGGTTTCTGGAACTATTCCCCATCAGGCACCAAGGGACCAATAAATCTAGCTGGTACTTTAAAACTATTTCATAAATGTTATTTGTTTAATCCAGTTGCTCTTATCTAGGGGTAGTTTTGTCCCCCAGAGGACATCTGATAATGTCTAGGGACAGTACTGGTTGCACCTGGGGACGGAGTCGAGGGAATGTGCTCCTAGCATTTCAGGATAATAGCTGGTGATAAGACTGTGCACAGTGCAATGCACAAGACAGAACCCACCACCAGTGGAGAATTATCTGCCTGCAAACAATAACGCTGAAGTAGAGAAGACCCAGTTTAATCAGAGTTCAAACATCAAACCTCAAGGTTGCAGCCATAATATTTTTTTAAAATATTTCCAAAAACTATTGCCTTGTGTCAATGAAGGACCCAACACACCATTACAAATCCACCAGCACCTAGCCAAAGTGGCTGAGGATATTCCCTAAAAAAAATAGCTGCTTGGGAATGGCTGATCTTCTATTGTATCAAGAAATGTACAAAAAAAAAAAAAAGATAAAGAAATGTACAAAATGAATTTGGAACAAAGTTATACCAGAAAGAAAACTGTCAATATCTACTAGGGATTGTGTTAAAAGAGCTCAGGAATCAACCTGAGATGGTTTTGACTGGTAAAATTCAAGACCATTTGGGCATCACCGTGTAACATCAAAGGAAACCGACATATGGTCAATTCTTTGCTCTCATTATACTAAAAAACTAACAACCAAAACTCATCCTTACTGTTCCCCTTTGTATCTTGCTAGAATTTCAGTCCATTATTTTAAAAACTGGTGAAGAGGCAAAAAGACACCTTTATCTCCTCCCTCTTCTGATTGAATTCTATATACATGATAAAATAGCTTATATGAGCAGGTTTGCTTTTGTAGAAATATCTCAACTAATAATTAAAGAAATGTTTGCTGCAGTCAATCACGATCACCCTCTTTCAATTGCTAGTTAAGATGCAGACACAATTACCAATAGCCAGTCAGGAAAGGTAATATGTCTGCTAACAGAAGTACAAAATACCACCTATGAAATAGGTTTTGTTTATTCTTTTCTTTTCCCTCTCTTTTCTCTTTTTTCCTTCTTCCTCTCTTCCCTCTTCTCCTCCTCCTCCTTAATATCGAGACAGAATCTCATAAAGTTGCCCTGGTTCGGCTTGAACTTGAGATTCTCCTGCCTCATCTTTCTAGAGTGCTAAGATTACAAGTGAGTACCAGCTCCCTCTGGCCCTCCTTGGGACGGGCTATGCTGTTCAGGCTGGCCTTGAATTCTGGGACTCAAGTGATCCTACTGCCTCAGCCCCCTCAGGAGGGCACTACAGTGAGTGCCACTTGTGCCTGGCTCTTATGAAGTACTCTTAAAAATGATATCTTTAAAACCTGATCACATTTTTAGATTTAATAGTCAATTTACATGAAATAGAGGGGACAAAGAAACATAGGAAGTGACACAGGATGCATAAATAAAATTCTGAATGAGACAGACTAAGATAAATGGCCTGGTTTCTTCAATAAATGTATTGCAAGTTTCAAAAAATAAATAAGGAGTAAATTTCAAAAACATTACTTCTATAAAGAAACGTTGGATTTTATGACAAATCACAATATAATTCCAATGATATTGGAAACAAAACAGTATGTATCAAAATTAGAGATATAGCTAAAACAGAATTTAGCAGTAAACATATATTAAATGCTTTTAAAATGTTTAGAAAACTAAATAAATTATGACACTATAGGGACTACTCTAAGAAAGCAAAGATAGTTAATACCAATACATATAAGGAAAACTATATTCAATAAATTAAAACTGAACTCTGATAAATATAAATAAGCAGCTTGCATTTTGCACAAAGAGCTTGGCCATGCTAATAATTAATAGTGATGAACATGTGGGCATCAGTTTACGGTTAAAGATTTTTACGTATACCTGACTTATTTCTTAGAACAATGCTGTGAAGGAGGTGGCATAAGTTATTTTGAGCCGTTTGTCATTCGGGGGATGCTAGCGTTTATCTGCCAGGTGTAGGAAAGGTAAGTAGTGGTTCACCCCATTTTACATCTAAGAAACAAGGGACCAGACATTTAAATAACTTAGATACATGGGCGTTAAATGGTAGTACTGAAACTAGTATCCATTTAAATATTATTAATACTGTGATTTTTCTTTTTTATGTCACTTTCATTTTAAGATAGAATCTACTAAATGAATGTGGACATATAATTAAATTTAGTTAGAACAGTAGGTTGAAAATTCACATGGATGAGAAATGTAAGAATTCACATAGTATGATAAACATAAGAATATTTCAATGTTGATTTCCAGAATCTGGTCATCTTTCATACAAACGGATCTTCATTTACAGCTCTATGTAAGGATGACTGCATGAGAGTTAAACACAAGTCAAGTGACTACTTAAGCTTACTTAGAAAAATAACTCAAGTACCCCAATTTTTTTTTTGTAGAAGAGAGGGTAAAAGTAACTGCATGCAAGGTTCAAAATCTTCTGATGATACCAATAAAATAAAATAAAAACGGAAAAGAAGGTTAAAAACATTAGCAACATTTGGATTGCCTGTGTAGATGCTGACACTGTAAAGAAGTTGTCCTAATGTTACTATTCCAATCTCTTAAGGTTCTCCTTCCCATAGCTGCAAAATAACATTAGAAATCAATGCATTCAACGTTCTCAAAATGAGGCCAAAAATATTATGGAATTTGCTTAGGGTTACACATGTAGAGAGTGCCAAAGTCAAGAGCAAAAGCTAAGTACAAGTTATAGAACACTGTTTCTAGAAACAACCACAGACACATGTTTTCCCAGTTTTTAAATTATTATTACAGAAGTGGAAAGGCAAGATCCAGACAGATAAGGCTGTTTCCTGTAGGAGCATGACAGGGCCAATGTAGTCTCAGAATTACAATGTCTATTTTCTGACTCTTAGCCAGTATACAATCCAAGGTCCTAAGAATTTTCAACTCTGATGTGGCTACTTCATGATAGCCACTGATAACAAATACTCACACTGCTACTTATGTGGCTTAATTCTAGGAACTGAGCATTACCACCGTGCTTCAGGAAAATTAGAAATAGTAAAGAAAGAAGATTGCAATAATATGTAATGTGTAGTTTATTAAGGTTCTTTTAAAAGTAGGGTGATAATTATTAGAATAATCAATTATCTAAGCCTATCCTTTTTAATGGGGGAAAAAAAGACTTTCAGAGTTTATTATTGGATAATTTTTAATAAAGTTTTCTCCAGGAAAGTAATGCAAGCTTATTGTAAAATCCTATAATAAAAAGAAATATGAAAAGTAGCTCATAGTACTATCACCCAAAGGTAAGTACTATTAAAATTTTTATGTATTTTCTCTCAGATTTCATGTAAAAAGTTTTTTTCTATATTGTATTAAACACATTTATATGTTTTAAAAGCTAATTCTAACATAAGCATTTTCCATGTTATTACAAACTGTTCACAAATTAATGGCTGCAAAAGAAAAAGACCTGTGATTGGTGCATTGTCATTTTTCTTAACAATTCAGTGTAAATAATCTGAGATTCTTCCACACTACCAAACCATTAGCATTTATACCATCCCCACCTCCAAAAATAAAGAGCCTTAGAGAAATTATTTTTCTTGTGTGAGAGTAAGGAATATAAATATATTCACACACTTAGAATGGTATAACTATGAAGCATTTATTGAAATATGATAATTAAATTCAGAAATCAAGGAGGAGAGGAACTTACAGTTTTTCATTTTTGTTTTTGTTTTTTTTGGTACCAGGGATCTAACTCGGGTCCTTGTGCTTGCGAGGCAGACGGCAGCACCACTGAGCTAAATCCCTGGCCGATAAATAATTATTTTTAAGAAATAAAAACCAAAGATTTTCTAAGAATCTTTTTCAGAATAGTATATTAGTAGTGTTAAGAAAGTAAGTAATATCAGAAGCTTATTTTCAATTTACCTAATTGCACGTTATAAGCTGCAGTCTCTACTGATTCCTATGTCTTACCTTGTAAACATGACTTACTGGAAACAGTGACAGAAGTGGCTACAGAAGGAGCAGGTAAAAGAGGTAAATTGTACAGATCATGCTTGTTCAGGTATAAAACAACATTGGGTTGAAAAAGTAATCTATAGATTATACAATGCCACAGCATCAGTATAATTTTGAACTTTTCTATGCATAAAGTATATAATTATCTCTTTCACTAAATTTTTCTTTATCCTAGTAAAATGGATTTATGTTGAATAAGACTGCTTTTGTTAGACATCACACATATCAACATTACCTAAGATCTCCAAATTTTAATATGTTACACATTATTTCTATAGATTAAAACTATAAATTATTTGGAAAGTTTAGGGGATTAGACTGATTCATTTTATTAGCCTTTTTATTTTCAGTGCTAACTTTAGAAAAGAAATTGGCAAGAAATTTCCAAACTTGAATGATAAGCCAACACAAAACCATAGTGAGTCTACTTGATTAGAACAACAATGAATTTACATGTAAATTTTATATTGTTTAAATATAAAAGCCAAAAAGAATCATGTTAAATGAGACCAAAAAAGCCAGGAATAATGACATGCAAATTTAGTTCTAGCTACTTGGGGGGCTGAGGCATGAGGATCTCTTGAGTTAAGAATACAAGACAAGTCAGGGCAACAAAATGAGACTCCCATGTCAGAAAGGACGAAGAGAAGGAGGAAAGGACAGAGAGCAAGAGAGAGAGAAGCAAAGAGAGGGAGAAGGAAGGGAAGAAAGAAGAAAAAAGTTCCACAAAACTTAAAATTCATAGGTAGATAGAAAACTATAAAATATATATGGCAGCTAAAAAGACAAGTTTTATTCAAATTTCAATAAATAAATGATTTACATTTCATATTTTCTTCTTTTTCCCAATCCTATGTATTTACTTGTCTATAGGCTCAATTAACTTGCCGTTATGAACCTGAGAACACCTATATATATGTAAACACAATGCACACACATACACATGAGTATATATTTAGGTAAATGAGTCAAATAAAATGTTGAACTCACCTCCACTGACATCCATGGCATATAATTCTCTCAGGCCCAGGTCATTAAGAGACTTTGTCAAGTCGAGGGGTTCCTGAGATTGATAATCTTTCAGCAGCAGTGTGTGCAGTGGGTCAAACTCACACTTGCTACATATAGTAGGGACAAGTTCTTGCAGGAATGCGTGTGGACTCACTCTCACTATGGCCTTCTGTGTTTTCTTAAAATTGATCACTACTCTCACGGTTTTCTGAAACACAGATTAAAGCCATAGTTATGCCATAATTTACTGAAACAAACTTTCTATAATGATGTCTGGAATAATAAGTTAATCTGCAACTATGTATTTATACAACAAACAGTTCTTTACTATTCTGGTGTAAATTCTTTTTCAGTAATGTTACTTCCTAAATCTAAAGCAAATTCAAAGAAAAAATATTAGTTTATTAAGTCATCTAAATTAAATTCCCAACCCTTATATAGTAAACTACTAAGCAGATTTAAAACCAAAAAGAATCAAAAGCCTCATATCTAGTACTACTAATATTTTTTCTTAAATACTTGCTTTAATATTAGGAACTATAAATAATAATTACACATGCCTTTATTCAAGGAATATTTATATTTTGAATGGCTTGTCAATTATCTTAATGAAAAAATGGGTATTTAAGAAAACTACTAATATATTTGTATTCTCTCTATTCAAAGTAGGACAAAATAAAACAAAAAAGAGCTTCATGATATTGCTCATATTGTAAGTTATCAATACATGAAAGGTAGTGATTGTGAGTAGCTCTTGTTGTTCTTATTATTATACTTTTTGGTTAATTTAAATATAATGGTAATACTAAAATTTTTATTTAGCTAATACTAATAATTCAAAATTACTAGGAATCTTTAAACCATCTATCATTTTTATGTAACTGAATTAAATCTTGTATATACATGGAAGTTAGCACATTTGGTTATTCTTAGTGAAATTTACAGTTTGCAGATCCTTACAGACATTTATTCATAAAAACCCTAAATATATTTGAGGGGTCTTGAGACTGATAATGTATGTTCTACAACATAAATAAAACTACTTCCAGCATGACAAATAGTACAGATATGCAACAGATAAGAACAAACCTAGACAGTAGGCAATCCAATATCTTAGATAATGTTTAATATTCAATCATATATTAAAGTGAAATGTTTATTATAAAAAGCCCTGCCAACTTTTTTGTAAATGTTTCATAATATGAAGAAAATATGAGAATACATGTATTCAAATAGTATGTAAATGAACCATAATTTAATAGTGTATATAAAATTTTCTATATTTTATAACATGAAAAATGGTGGTGCTCATAATAAAAGAATATTTCTTAATACCAAAAACTTCTACCACATTATTGCAACAGAGTAATTTTATAAAGAACTGATGAAGGGACTGGGGATATAGCAGCATGGTAGAACATTTGCCTAGCATGTGCAAAGTCCTGAATCTAACCTTCAGAATCGTGAAGGAAATTATATGTACGTATATAAAATATATATTTATATATATAAAGAACTGATTATATTAGAATAATTTTTGTTTAAAAATATACATTAAAGAAACCCGAGCCACTGTGGAGCGTGAATAACAATAATTTGGCCAAGAGGAAGTTACAACTGCCACTTATTAAGAGAGAAATCAAAACAATATTTTAATAAATTCTTCAATAGAATTTCATTAAAAATTCTAAAAGCTTTAAATATAACCTCTTTTAAAACAACTTAAAACACAACACACCCATTCTGGTTAGCCTTTGATGCAATCATATTGCCCACATCATAGCATTCAATAGTTAAGCTATTCCCCTAATTCTAGTTGATCCAAGCATCAATAACCAACTGTATCCTAAAGGCAGTGGCCTTGTACAACATAGTAATCATGTTCAGATCAAATATGATCTGAAAGTCAATTTTTATTTCATTTATAATGAGCTGCTGATATTGACTAAATCAACCTACTATCTTAGTCATGAGACATACATCTATGGTGGAATCCTTACCTCTGGTATTATAGGTGTAGGTTTTTTCTTATCCAAATTTTTTGGCTTTAAAATTACTTTCTCTATGTCCAATATTCCTATTGGTGTGTTTGGCTTAAATTTAATGTTATTCTTCTCAGCTGACAGTAGGTCGATTGTGTAGCTTGAAGGATTTAAGTGATACTGCGCACATAGGAATATCAACAAGTCCATCATAGGCTTACTGTAAAACAAGAGTGATGCTGATCATAAGCGTCCATAAAACGATTTCATTAGCTATTAAAGTTATTGTTTTGAGAATTTTTCTTAGCATGGGTTTATTTTCAATAGATAAAGTAGGCTATTACATAGTACCTGTGAAAGCATCTTAAACATCCATATATTTAAGCAAGCTGGGTGTGGTGGCACATGCCTGTAATCCTGGCACTTTGGGAAGCTGAAGCAGGAGGATCACAAATTTGATTCCAGCCTGGGCAATTTAGCAACTTAGTGACCCTATCTCAAAATAAAAACAAAAGAGGCTAGGGTACAGGTCAGTGCAAAGGTCTTGGGTTCAAGCCCAAGCACCAGAAAAAAGGGTATTAAGCAGACAAAATTATACGAGTTAAAAAGTCCTACACAGCTTGGAAGAGAGCTTAGATCCTAGTGTTGGTTCAATAATTACTATGTTTTCATTTGTCCTTTTTTTCACATTATAAATTTCAGGAGGAGGAGGAGTCCTTTTCTTAGGCAGAGGAGACACGTAGTTTAGCAGGGACTCCTTCACAAAATTGCTTGGAATAATGGCAGCCCTTAGCTTAATGAATTGGGTGTATTCCAAAGTTCTCACAGAATGAAGCATTTGGAACAACCACCACCTTTTTGGATTTAGAAAGAGCAGATACTACCTATGTGAAGAGGCCCACAAAATCCTAAAGAGCACACTACAGATTTCTTTAAGTCAAAGAATATTTATTTAATATTTCTCAGGCTCTAGCGTCATGGCACAGTATTATGGAATACCTGTTTTCCTAGATCTAACACTCTACTAGATAGACCAGACCAAGAGTTAGGAAAGTCCAACCTGCAGGCCAAAGTGGGCACAGGACCCGAGTTCGATCCCCAGTACAAAAAAATAAAAAATAAAAAAATAAATAAAGTTTTACTAAAACATAGTCAAGTCTGTTTCTTTACATAATAGCTCAGGTTGCTTTTGTGTTACCACGGCAGATTGAAGTAGACCTGATGTAGACTGTACAGACCACAAAACCAGTATTTTTACTGTCTTAACTCTTGAGAAAAATGCTTACAGGCCCAAGTGTTAGACAATAAAAAAGTAACCAAGCTGGGTGCAGTGGTGCATGCTTGTAATCCCAGCACTGGGGGAGGCTGAGGCAGGAATCTGGTGGTTTACCAAGACTCTGTCTTAAAAAATACAGGGGGCTAGGGATGTAGCTTGATGGATGTGAAGGTCTTGGCTTCAAATCCCAGTACCATGCATGAAAAAAGTAAATGCATGAGATCACTGTAAATACTGACTGTTATATACTAATGGAAATACAGGACTTATTTTTATAGGAACTTGCATACCTGATTTGAGATTAATTTTAATTATCAGTATACATTGGTCAACATATATGATTACATTCATCTTGGATAAATGGTACATATGCATATTACAACCTAGTCATTTTTACTTTCCTTTTCACCCTCAGATCCTCTAGATACTTCTCAGTTCTTTGTTTGGCTTTCCAAAGATGTCAGTAATTGATACAGACTTCAGTTTTCATTCACACCATCACCAGGTCAATGTGATCTCTGGGTCTTTGTCAGCTTTTAAGGAACAAACACTGAAAACTCTATTGTATCACCTGATTTACTTAAATGCCTGGCCCTCCTACACTGTCAGTTCCCACCTAGGAAAAAGGCATTAAAACATCGTACAGAAGTCTTGCTCTCATGGATAGAAGTGTAGGTTCAGGGTTTGGGGTAAATAGGTGACTGGCCATTTTGCCCCACTGGGAAATGTACACGTCAGTAAAAATGAGTCTCCAATTTCTTAACTGGAGACAGAAACCTAGCTACTGGCCCTCAAGATCTTGACAAGGACATGGGGCTAGGAATCTCACTCTTCAGCATGCCTACTTTCACATGGCCTCTTTCCACCCTCTCCTAGGTGAAAAATCTGTTTGGGACCTCTTGTGCTTTGGTTTTGCCACAGTCTCCTGCTGGGGTGGGGAAGGGTTGGTTGTTTAGAACTGTGTGACCTTGAGGTCAAACAAAATTGTATATAGGTTTTCAAGCTCTGCCCTGCAGTCAACCCCTGCATCACCCTCACCTTCTTGGATGACTGCAGTTCCTAGGCTGCTCTAATCCCATGTCACCAAGTGGTGCATCCCTTAATGGGCCTCACTTCTCTTCTCCCCCACTCTACATACATCAAGAGAAGCAAATACAAGACTAAATCCTACAATTAAAAATGTTCTCTGGAATATGTTTCATGCTTCAAAATATATTCCCTGTGTCTTCTGTCATTGTTACAAAGTAATATGAAGGAGTTTTATGCCTTCCTCCTAAGCGGCACACTAAGCCCATATATAAATATGTCGATAGTTGCCTAAATTTTGATTTTCTACAGGACATTCTAATTTTATCCAAAGAAAGACTAGCTTAGTGGTCATATGGAAGTTTATTTCTTTTTATTTTATTCATTAAGGTTATTGGTACATTTTAGGTGAACATTATGATCACATTCATCATTGGGAATTTGAACCTGTACATGATATATCTTGGTTCTTGTTTTTTCCCATTCACCTTCCCTCCTTTCCACTCCTCCACCCCTCCCTATTTACAAGAGTTTGTTTCCATTTTTTCCTTCTTTTCTCCTTTTTTTTTCTTTCCCTTCTTTCCTTCTCTCTCCTTCTTTATTTCTTAGCAATATACTACTCTATGGGACCAACTTAATGCTACATATCAATTCTAGATTTGGAAATGGTACTGTCATTGAGAGTAGAAAGAGTTAAAAAGAACTAGATAATGTCTAGATAAATATAACATAAATCTGTTTGTTATATACAAACAGGAAGAGGAGAGAACTTTCATTGCCAACCAAATAGAGAACTGTTTGCTCTTGCCTCTGTGTAAGTGGTAGGCAGTTCAGATTATATTTCTCTTTCTCTCTGAACAGTAAATATATCAAGTAATAAATGTGAAAATATTAACAGGTACAACTCAAACATCTTTTACTCCCTAAGTACATAACTGTTTATAAATCTGTCAGAAACATAAGTTAAAACAAAAGTTGTAATTTTAACTGTTAAAAAGTATTTAAGGATAAGAACACTGCTTGAGTTTTTAATTGGTGGGACTGAAAAATTGTGTATCTAGGCTCTGTACCGCCCCACACCCACAACCCATCAGCCTCTGCTGGGACTGCTTTGCTGTGGGGAAGCGGGTGACAGGGGCCTCACAGAGTCCTCCAAAAGCTGCTCTGGGAGGACTACTTTCTTCCTTTCCTCTCCTAGCATCCTAACCTCCTAACGATGACCCTTTTTAATTTAGTTTATTTTTTAAGATTCAAAATGCAAAAGTTGGAACTTTTTGAAAGTTGGAAAATGCAGATAAGCCAAAAAATTAAAACACGATGTCATTATTGAGCAGGCAGATTACAACTACTGTTAATATTGCAGGGTCTGATCTTCTTGTCACATACACCTACTGTGCTCACACACTAATACATGTACAGGTCGGTGTGTTTTCACACCAGTACGGCATTTTACTGCCTATGCCATCTTGTAACCTGCTTTTGTTCAGTTACTGTTTTCCGATTTTCATGTCAATAAAACTTTACTGTATCCTTTGCATTCAAACTGTGCCAATCACAGCAAAATGTTTACAGTGCTTTGTTTTTATAAGGAATATGTGTATATGTTTAGTAGACATTTTCTTAAATCGGTTTTTATAAAGGTAACAACTTATAATTCCCTCTGAATAGAACATTCAAGATAAACAACCAGTAGAGTCCAGTATAAAGTGGTGACTTACAAAGAATTTTTTCTTTTATAATACTGTGTCTCTTTTCACTATTTAAGAATTTTATCAGCTTAGTAATGGCCCACTCTATTATCTTTAAATCTTACTTATGTTGTCTTCTTTACAATGTTTTTTCTGGTGTAATTCTTTTTTAAATTGTATATATTTACAACATATAATGTTTACATGCATTTTGGGGAATTAGTACACATATATGTCATATCTTGATAATTTTTGATCCTCTTCCCTCCATCCTGATCTCTCCTCTCCATTTCCAAAGAGTCTATCTCCCTGTTTCCTCTCTTCTTTTACTATTTATATTTTGGGTTTCTCATAACAGAGAAACCATATTGAAAATAGAAATTTTCTATTTTCATTTGACCCAGCTATACCTCTCCTGGGTATATTCCCTAAAGAGTTAAAGTCATCATCATGCTATAGCAATACATGCATTCCCATGTTTAGAGCCACACAATTCACAATAGCTAAGCTCTGGAAGGAGCCTAGATGTCCATCAACAAATGAATGGATAAAGAAAATGTGGTATTTATATACAATGGAGTCTTATTCAGCCATAAAGAATGAATTGATGTGATTTGCAGGGAAATGGATGGATCTTGAGCCCATAAGCAAAATAAGTCAGAAGCAAACTTATAGCATGATTCGATAACCATTCTCAACTTTGAGATTAGATTTGTTTCACGTAATGGATTCACTCCATTTTGTGTATACATGGGTAGTTAGAGAGCACGGTTTCATTTCTGAATTCATTACTGACCTAAGTGGGTTAACATAATATGGATAAATATCAGTAACAATGGAGAATATTCTAAAAATTTCCATACCATTATCTGTATGTTTAATTGGGTTGTTGGTATACATTCATAAGGGACATAATTCAACTTAACTCAGTATTGAGGATTTTTTTTTTTTTTTTTGGTACCAGGCATCGAACTCGGGACGTTGCGCTTGCGAGGCAGGCGCCGGAACCACTGAGCTAAATCCCCGGCTATTTTACTTATTTTTAATAAATCCTCAATACTGGGCCGGGGATTTAGGTCAGTGGTTCTGGCGCCTGCCTCACAAGCGCAAGGTCCTGAGTTCGATGCCCGGTACCAAAAAAAATAAATAAATAAAAATAAGTAAAATACATTTTTAGATAGCAGGGCCGACATAAAGAATCCTAGAACAAGGAAGAATCTTATTCAGATA